AGAGCCTAAGCTCTAAACAATCAAATTAGAGCCTACCTTCAAATAGTGTTGAGAAATGTGGTTTCAATATTGGAAATCTTTGTGATAGCCTTAAAATACATTTTCATATTTATTTATAAAGTTTAAAGATTCAAAAATAGTGTAGATCGACATATCTATGAAAACTTGAAAATATTGAAAATTGACGGTCCAAAAATGCATCATAAAATACACTATTTCCAAAACTTGAGATCCATTTTTTTCTCATGTCCATGCATCTTGATGTCAAGATGATCAATTTGAAGATATTTCGGCATCGAAACAACCTCTTCTAGTGCAATGTTTGAGGTAGGCTCAAATTTGATTGTTTAGAGCCTCGGCTCTATATAAACTTTTCCCTATCTATCTATCTATCTATCTATCTATATATATATATGGTCGTGGTTTGCATATGGTTGTAATCTTAAACAATCTAATTAAGGTGCACCCCCAAACTTTGTCAAGAGATGCACTTTTGGTGTCCAAAATTCTTAGGATGGTGCTGGAATCTATTTTTATTTACAATTATAAATTTTAAAATTCCTATGAAATCTCTTTTTTCCTCCATATCCATACATCTCAAAGTCGAGATGATCAATTTGATGTTTTTCCAGCGTCGTAACAACCTTTTTCGAAGGATTTTAGAGGTACACCTTAATTCTACATTTTAAGGTGTCAAACCTTATATAAGCTTTATATATACAAACGAAAAAAAATTAATTAAAATTTAGAAGGGGCTTTTGCATGTTAATTTTGCCTATCACAAATAGGAATTACAAAAATAGAGATTTCGAAAATAGTATTTGGCTAATCAACATAAAGAAAAATCAAAAGTGAAACAAGAGAAGGTTAAATACTAATAAGACATCTGAGGACATATGCCATAAAGATTCATCACAAAATTGCATAAATTACACGCCATACCTAGAAATTTCAGATCCCAAAACAACATATGCAGGCAATACATAAAGAGGATTGAGCTGATCAGGAAACTACGGAAACAAATCAATGTCTTCTTTTCTGATCACAGGCAAGATACTTGAGTCCCATGGAAAAGAATCACTTTATATACAAAAATCTTGTTTGCCACCAATCAGAAGCTGTGCAACATTAGTTCATTTACTCTTATACATGCACTCTAGAAGTAACTGATGAATACCCTGAAAATGGTTTAGATCAAGGTTCACAATCTCAAGATAAGAAAACACACATCAGACACAAATTCTATCTTCGATGGCCATTCTCCCCAAGATATTTTCTTGCCAAACAATACTTATAATGCTCAATAGATCTTACATTCCAACAGATAATTATTCCTTTGATAGATACTCAAATAGGATATAGTCAGTCAACAAGTGAACATTGACACAAAGATTGAGCAAAAAACGCTGTGCTCATCATGCAAAAGAGATTTAGAAAAATTACAAGAAATAAGAAAAAGAAGAACAAAGAGTCAAAAACAGAAAGAAGAAGAAGGATTCCACATGGACAGAATCAGCATTCATAAAATCAACCTGAAGTATAAGATTAACTACTCAGAATATTCAAGAGAATAATACAGGGAAAAGACACAAGCCGAACCCCATCACCAATGGATGCAAGCCAACGCCGATTCTCTTTGTACAAGACATAGATAGACACAAAGAAGTGCCCACTACCTGCTTCCATTGGATCACTGAAAACCCTTATTCTTCTTCACGGAGAGAGAGAAGAGGCCCCAACCCCAAATTACTCTTCTTTTTTTTCTTTTCCTTACCCCACCATCCGCAAAAGCAAATCTTGAACTAAAAACTAAACAACTCACCAAAATTGTACACTGCCCCAACTCTCAATGTAACCCAATAATCATTCAGGCACACTAGGCCTGCCCAAGCAATCCATTACCTCACTCCGGCTCCTAACAATCCTGTGAAAAGCCTCTCTCACTTGGCGTTCAAGTGGGTCCAGTCCATATCTAATGGCCGTGCAAACAACATCCAATTCTTTAACCTCACATCTCACCTCTTGGTCCCTCTCCTCTGATAAAGGAAAATGAACAGAATCCACCAATTCCGTCATATGGCGAGTGCACTTCTCTATCCCATGAATCTCTTTAAGCAACCCACTTGAGTTTCGCCTATCTCTCTTCTTCGACTCGTCAACAATTCGCTCATGCAAAGACATGAGTGCAGGGGCCCAAGAGAAGTGACGGGGGAATGAGAAGTGCATTTGCAGGCCCCGGTCTTGACAAGGGATTGCAGCCACCAAAGTCCACATCACAAACAAGAGCACTGAGCTCATGGTGTACACAGGAACAGCCAGCCCATTTGTGGCCATGATCTCATGGTTTCTTGGTGGGTTCACGTTGTTCCCTAGGGCTTGAAGCTGGCGAGCGGCTGACCATGAGCGAGAAACGCTCCATGAAAGGGACCGGAAATGACCAGTTTGCCGCTCCCTATTGGTGGTCCTCCCAAATGATCGGTTTCTCTGTGCAAGCACAGAGCCAGCTTCCTTCTCATCGAGCATAGCAATGGCCAAATCTGTCAGTGCCTTCTTTGCTCTTCTAAATTGGCCCTCTCCTATGATCCTCTGATTTGGGTCAAGAGCCAAAAGCACAATTTCTAAGTGCTTTTGCCATTGTCGAACCTGCTCGATCCCATCTCTAATGGCATTGCATACATCAAGGGCCTTTACGCTTCGTTCAAAGAAATCACCAGCTAACCTATCCAGTGGCGGTTTTGAGGCCTGAACCCTATGGTTCAAGAGGATTAGCCTGAATTGTTCTTGACAAAAGAGGAAGGCATCAAGGAGCTTCTGGACCCATGAGATAGAGAGAAGGTCTTCTTGCGGGGTAGTAGCTAGGTCATGGAGTCTCTCTGATACAAGCCTCTGAAAGGCTTCGAGTTCTTGTTCTTGGCTTGAGCTGGGTTCATGATGGTTAGGGTCCATGGGCCGGACCTCGTTTCGCCCGATACTGAGAATTGAACGACCAAATGAAGCCAAGTGAGCAGAGGAACTTTGGTAATCGGTAGCAGGCATTCTCTCTCACATGGAAAGGGGGCTTGATTCGGGAGCTTGTAGTATGACCTTGGCCTCAAATAGTTGAATAATGACAATGGAGCCTGAAAAGAGATGAATTAGATGAAAATACACCATCTTTCTTTTGAATAAGCAAGCGAAATTTGTGTATGCACTATTAACATTCCGAAATTGATGCATGCTTTTGCTTATGAAGAAGAAACCTCGAATTGAGGTGAAATTGATGGCAACAAATGAAGAAGGTTAAAAATATTACAGAAATAAGAGTGGAAACCCTAACATAGAGAGAGAGAGAGACTTCGGATCCACTATAAACAATAGAGAAGCCTAAAATGTGTAAGGGTTACCACAACTCTTGATAAAATAAACACCAAATCAATCCAAAAGAGCTAGATGAGGTACACGCATGAGAAGGAAGGCAATACAGAATACCATATGCAAGAACTCAGTAAAATTAACCAACATTGGGGGAGAATTCATGCAAATATATCCTAATTCATGAATCAATAAACATGAAATTCGAGAAATAAAATAGCTGGATATCACCTACTGAATGAGATCAGCTTCTGAATAAGAGGCCAACAAATTCACAGAAATGCACAGGAAAAGCTCTACCAAGAAACAGATCTAAGAATTTCGGAGAAAAATCAAGCAATCAAGGACCCACTTTCCCAAAAATCCCAACATTTGCCCCAAAACATCCAAACATCGACAGAAGCACCAAAATCCAACAAGACATTAAAAACCCCAATAACATGCATAAAAAAGATCGACTCTTTCCACCCATGAAACAACTTTCTACGGATGGAATCATATAACAGAAACCCTAACGAGCAGAGAAATATGGAGGAATTACAGAGAAAACAAGGAATTCGAAATCGTATGATGCTCTAGAGCTAGGGCAAATACCTGAAAATTGAGATCCTTGGATCCGAACACGAGAGAGAGATTTATGAATTAGGGCAGGGTAAAACGGGAGTGGCGGATAGAGTGGAGAGAGAGGTGAGGCGAGAGGGCTTTTATGGGGGAATGGTTGTACCGCGTGAGGTGACCCTTTCTGGCCCTCGAACTTGGAGGGCCAAGAGAGAGAGAGCGCCGCGTTAGAGATAGAAAGAGCAGTGGTAAAATTCCTCCAGAAGGTCTCCACATTTAAGGAAAATAACAAAACTGCCCAACACACACCCGGTAAAATTCTCTCATGGCCTGTTTTGTTTATTGGGTTTTTTTTATTTTTTTGTGTTCTTGGGTAAATTTATTTACTTTTTTTTGAGTAATTGTACTTGGGTAAGTTTTCCTTTTGTTATTGGGTAATTTTTTTTTTTTGGTGAGTCATTCGGAAAAAGGCCCCCTTTCTTTGTGCTAAACAATTAAACCCGGGCTCTTTTGTTTACTGCTTACCTCGAGGTGAACGTATATAGTATTTGAGAAGCTCAAACTTAAAATACTATGGTCTAATTAATTTGTAATTTAAAAAAGAGCCCGGGTTTAATTGGACCATAGTATTTTAATTAGTAATTTAGACCATAGTATTTTAATTAGTAATTTAAAAAATTGTGGATTTGATTGAGAATCATTTGGGTGGAATTAAAAATGTATATCTCGTATTTCAACTATTTAATATTTTATTTTTTTCTATTATTCTAAGTCAAATTGAAATTAATTCAAAAATGAGGTAAAGCCTATTTTGACAAATTTCTCCAAATTTCTCTTAAAATTGAGAATTGAGTTGTTTTGCTTCAAAAATCCTTGAATTGAACCTTTTTTCTTTTTAATTCTATCTATTGTATGGATATAAAGTCAGGCATAATGAATATGAGACTACCTCGATCGCCTATATGAAAAACCGGCTTGGATGGGCAAATTGGCAGTTTAGATGAACTGCAGTGAATTCAGACAGTAAATAAATAAAATAGAGAGCAATAAAAAATTTTAAAATACGAGACTACCCGGTGAGATTAACGGTTTCATTAATTTGAAAGGCAATAAATGACAAACAAACATCCATTCTAGAGAGTTTTAAGCCGTCCATTTGAGAAACTAAGGTGGGCCCCAACAATAATTAAAAGCAAATGCCAAGGTCAATTCCGTCATTGAGAAAAAGAACGGGTCGGGATTGACCCAAAAACGACCCAATACAACCACGAATTGTTCTGTGTCCTGAACACGCATTCCACGCGAAGTGGACAAGGTCGTCTTTTGCCCCCCTCTCTCACCGTTTTAAAAAATCCGTAACTTTTCAATTTAACCCAATTGCCGTTACCGTTACAGATCGCACATCTATCACAATAACGGACAGTGGCTCGACACGTGGAAAACAGTCCTTCACTCAACGTCAAGTGCCAGCTCGGATCCACGTCCCAAGTGCCAGCTCATCAGTCCTTGAACTCTAGGTTTACGTGCTCACACGTGTATTATACAGCTGTGGTGTACGATACAGGTGGGACTGGACTATATTTTCAGTGGGCCCATCTCCGTACAGCTGGGGCCCACTAGAAGTGACGCAAAGTTCGATCTGATTGTTTCGAAATTACGATAATATCCCTTGAGTTCTGCTGAAATTTGGAAATGTGCTTCCCATATTTCTCTGATTTGACATGGTTTTGGTCGGGTTCCTAACATCCTACGCGGTATAAAAGAAAACGGAAAAGTAGGATGACGAGATAAAAAATTAGGAAAATAATAAAAAATAAAAATTATCGCTGAATCATTCGGTTCTTAAAGCCAAACGTACTGAAAACATAGTGGGATCCACCGATTCTGAATCTAGATAGGGCTGGCTATTTCTATCGGAATCAGCATTTTTTAAAACCCTAGACTTTATAGTGATTATAATGTTTACATAGTAGACTTCACGTCATCTCAACCGTAGGGGCTTGAAAAGGATGGTTCATATGAACGTTGCTTTGCATAGACGGCAGTAAGATTATGACTGGTTCAAATCAACAATTTGTTATCTATGATGGATGGTTGAGTTTTCTTGCCGTGTGTTGCTTGAAGCACAAGCACTTCACAATGCATTTATGTTTTTTGGATTTCTCGTGGCGACCCTAGCATATTTAGGGGTTGTTTGGATATTTTGAAATCTATGAAAGGGAAATAGAGTACAAAGAAATCTCTCATTTACGACGTTTATGTACGTCAGAGTAGCTAGAAAATGAATTGAAATTATCCAAAATTATTCAAGATTTCTTCCAAAAACTTGTAATCCATTTCAGAATGGGAGGGCGGGGAGATGGATTACACCATGACAAGTAATCTTACCTCACGCGAGACCTTGCGACAAAATGTTCTCATAAATATATCACACGTTCAAGAGCTAAGTTGGTGTTGAAAAATTACAATAAACTCAAAGTAATGTACATCAAAATTAAAAAATAAAAAAGAATTGTCCAATCTTTATGTTTATTTTTGTTATAAGGAGGTGACAATTATTCTAGCCATTAGATGTCAAATTTGATGGTTTGAGATGTATCACGATTTTTTTTGAACTTCAAGTTTAGTCAATGACACTTTTGCAACTACTCTATTTGAAATCCGATGAGCATGAACGATTGTGACATCCTTGTATCAAAAGTAAAGCATCTTGATGTATTCCATTCCTTAACCTATATATCCATATCAATTTCTCACAAATCTTCGTCATTTGCCCTATTTAGATTTTAAGAGCTACTTTTAGGAATGTAACAATTCAAATGTAGCGCCACCAACCCCGGCTTCCACTTCCAAAGCTTCTTAACAAGTGCCATCGCCTCATTTATAAGCGTTTCCTTTGGAAATACACCACAAATTTGGTATCCATGTTGGTTATGAGCGCGTACACCATGCTCCGCGGGTGTATAGTATGCTCCATAGGAGCATAATGTATATCTACTACTTCTCTCAAATGCTACTCCAGAGGATTTTTTTCAATCTGAAAATAATATTTTGTTTAACAATATTGAAAAATTCGACAATTTAGTTTCAAATTGAAGGCATTTTCTTGTAAGAGTGATGGAAACATCCAACTTATGTTCCTAGCCAATATCGATTTTGACAAGCCTTAAACATGAGTACATGACTCGAAACAACTGTTCTTTTTAGGGGTAGGTATCAAAAGGAAACGTATTTTATTTGTCCCCCAACGCATAAAACGTGCATCTTAAAGATGGAAGTAAAGTAGTGGTCCCTCGAAGAGAAATAAAATCCAAGGGTCTAAAACTTTTCTTCAAAGATTATAATTTTTAGTTTAAACATTTATTTATTTATACATATTAATGATCTCTATGTTAGATATTTTATAATCTTAAAAAATTTAGGTCCAAAATCCATCTAAAAAATAGATCATGAAGATGAGAGGCACATATACATATGAGTCCACTTGGGACGCACATCTACATATGAGTCAGTGGACTCAATAAACACCGTGTCTATTATCAAAAGAACTATTGTTTCATGCGGGTTGGACCACATTTCTACAACATGCGGTCCAGAGGTATAAAGCATCCATCTTAAAGATGGATGCAAATAGTTGGTCCATCTAAAATCAGTTGTAACAAATAGTCCAAATGTTTTCTTAATATAATTATTATTTCTATTTTTTTTTTGTTTATATATTCATGATCTCCATGTTCAAGATTATATATTCTCTATGATCTCCATGATCTCCATGTTAAAGATTATATATTCTCTAAAAATTATGATCAAATTGTTTTTTAAAAATAGATTTATTGCCAAGCCCGCATTTCTACAATATGCGGGCTGGCCGCATGCTAACCACGTCCTTATCAAAATAGTTATAAGCGATGAACAATTTAATATTTTACGCATACTTTTAGATTAATTTGGAAATACCGATAAAAAAATGGGTGCGGTTTGTATAGAGCCTAGGCTCTAAACAATCAAATTAGAGCCTACTTTCAAATAGTGTCGAGAAATGTGGTTTTAATATTGGAAATATTTGTGATAGCTTTAAAATATATTTTCATATTTATTTATAAATTTTAAAGGTTAAAAAATAGTATCGATCGATAGATCTAGGAAAATCTTGAAAATTGATGGTCCAAAAATGTGTTACAAAATACACTATTTCCAAAACTTGAAATCCATTTTTTTCTTATAACCATGCATCTTCATGTCGAGATATGATCGATTTGAAGATATTTGGGCATCAAAATAACCTCTTCTAGTGAAATTTTTGGGGTAGGCTCAAATTTGATTGTTTAGAGCCTCAGCTCTATATAAATTTATCCCATAAAAAATACATGGTCTTTGGGAAATACTTGCAAATGGATAAATTGTTAAAGAATTCATCTCTCATGGGTATTCCAATAAATTTCCCTTCTTCATAAATGAGCAGGCCCTTATTTGTGGCATTTTGCAAATATGCACTATTATAAATTGGGCACAGGCAGAATAATTCTTTGCATTAGTGCACAATAACTCCCACACTGCTGTGTTACAATAATAGAATTAAAACTGTCTAGGAGTCCATTTATTTTTTCAAAAAATATCTTAGTTGTCCATCCAACAGGGCCCTAAGGGCACTGAATGTAACCTAACATGTGACGTGAACTAGTTGTAAACCAGAAACTGACTTCACTTGATTTGTGGTTTGTTACTCTATGAGTATACACATTAATTAGCCCAAAATTGGAAAAAAGTGTATAGTTGAGGATGACTGGATTTGCTCATTGCTCTTATAAACATAACTTCATGCATTTTTAATTGCCAGCTTGTAGATGCCTACAAGAAGCACATATTGTTGGAATGACACAAAACTATCCACTATTAAAACCAAAATATTCAAATGATCCTGTGATCTTAGTTCAAATGTGTTGAAGTTAACCCACCTAATGTTTCTTATGGAAATAACACAATGGTAAAAACATAGTTAACTAAGGGGAAGTTTATAGAAGGTTGCAACCTTAAATTGTAGAATTAAGGTGCACCTCAAAAACCCATCATAAAAGGTTTTTTTGTTGTTGGAAAACCCTCTAATTGATCATCGAGATGTATAAATATGAAAAAAATAAATAAATCTAAATATTGAAAATAGTGTATCTTGCAACAAATTATCTAGAATGTTGATTTTCAAAAAATTTAAGTGTTTATAGA